ATGTTGCTCGAGCAGTCCAGCAAAAACGCGTATTCTCGAGAGGCTGTCTGTGTTTGTGTTCGGAAAGCGAGTGTATTTTGTCACCCACTTTCATCTCAGCAACCAGGAAAGCTGGGCGGCTGAAACTTTGGATATATGTTCCTAAACCGTGTGTCATCCCCCCGTTTTAAGATCTTCCCCCATACGCCTAGACCCCGCGTATGGGACCCCCAAAGAAATATGTTGGCAGGAAATGATTTCGCGAACCAGGCAACGTAGAATGCAGGGATATTCTCTATGCAAGTGCGAGATAAAAATTTTAAACTCAATTCTCTAGCTCCCAACCACATCCTCAAGCAGCTCCTCAACCCAAAAACCGTTCGCAGCTCGGACCTGAACTGTAATTGTATATGGAAATGAACATGGATTTTTTGAAGAACGACCGCTCGAGCAATACTTCCACTTTTTAGTGAACTGGAAATTTGCATTTTTTTCAAAAAATTTGCATTTGTCACTTTTTCCACAAAGCGAGCATTTACCGAAACCCAGGCTGGAACGTACCAGGCGGGCCGGTGCGATTATGCGTTTTTGCACTTTTCGTACCGTAGCAAGATCGCAAGGAGTCAGTGTAGCTAACCCTGTGAAATACTGGCCCTCGAAGTTCGGAAATTAATTGTGCAGCTATGTGGTATGTCAGTTTAGCTAACCCTGTGAAATACTGGCCCTCGAAGTTCGGGAAGTTAACTGTGCAACTCTGTGGCATGTCAGATGTAGGTGTCGCATGAAATACTGGCCCTCGAAGTTCGGAAGTAAATTGTGCAGCTATGTGGTATGTCAGTTGTAGGTGTTGACTTCAGTGACCCGACAAATGGAAAGTTGCTGGTCCGCAAAAAAAAGGCCACGCTAGAAGAGTTAAATTTAAAATTTTTTAGTCGCACATGAGCGGGGAACATACCTCTTAAACCGGGAAGTTAATTGTGCAGCTATTTGGTATGTCAGTTGTAGGTGTCGACTTCAGTGACCCGACAAATGGAAAGTTGCTGGTCCGCAAAAATTAAAATCACGCCAGAAGAGTTAAATTTAAAATTTTTTAGTCGCACATGAGCGGGGAACATACCCTTAAAATTGGCCTCCAGCTTTCACTGTTCCCGAGTTAGCAGTTTCCCATCAAAATTTTCACGTGCCCGTGCGTGAGTACCAGACGGTTTTAAGGAGCTGAATCTAAA